TTCAGTATAACCGAGATGGAAAAGACTAATTTCAAGTGGCTGGGCTTGTCTCGGCATTCCCGTGTTATACTTGAATAAATCTTCAGGAGAAAGGGAGGAGTAAGAACTATATAAGAACTTTTAAGGTAGGGTGTATAGTTCTATTTAATGTTTTATAGCTCTATTTAATATCTTTTGGTAAGGATGGAGGTTGGGTGTTTTATTAGTAGAAATATTAGGGTGGCTTTATTTCAATTCATTTCTCCTTTAAGAAATTTAAGGGTAACTGCCTTCCCACAACTGGCTATAGACAGTGAAAGGCAGTAGAAACTGAGACGTTGTGGGTGTAAGCACTCAGCTTCGAATCCTTACTTGATTGCTTTTTTTATGATTTTCCATGATGGCTGACTATATTGACATCAGCATTTGGAGTCTGTCTGATAGATGGGATATCCTCAAAGCATTTGAGCACTATTAACACATACATTATCTGTTATTAAAATAAGTTGAAAACCAGGACCGATAATGGTATTTTGATATTTAATTCATTATTGTTTTATAGTGCTGACTTAACTGCCTATTAACAATTAATGTAACCAATAGTTTGTAAGCTATTTATTTATAGATAGATCAACTTACTCTGTCACAATATCACCAAAGTCTGAAGAATGGCTACAGGAAGAAGACAATAACTCGAAGATGAGACACAGCGATCCAATGCAGATAATGAGATATGATTGTATGTGGGTGGTCCACCTGCCCGATTGAAGAATTTTCTACGAGGGACGAGGTAAGGTGGCTGATCTGATGAGAAGACACCTGGAACAAATTATGGGAAGAAGACAATAGGGAAGAATAAGCCAATTTAATTAAAACCAAACCCAACTAGTCAGGGTGGAAGAAGAAAGGTGACAAACAGAGGATGCCTGTCAAGGAAGGAATAGGTGAGAATAGGCACCACGGAAGGAAGCCATTCGGGCAGCATAACAACGAAGAGCACAGACAGGACATGGTAGCCTATCCAGATCCAACCGAGGATAAAGGTGGGAAATGGAAGGAAGGGAAATTGGCAAGAAGAAGAAATTACCCTCCCGAGCCTGGGAATGAAAGATCAATCCAGATAAAGGAAAATATATGTTGAATAATATAGAGTACATGAAACATCAATGGCATATAAATTCGACCAAAGATGTCCACAGGCTAATAGAAGAAAAAATAAGTCTTAAGGGATAAGTTAGAAAGTGAGCACGAGGACAGAGGTAAAGTGAGGCAGCGAAGAACCACATCAACATCCCAAAGCAGAAGGATTGCATGCTGAGGTGGATGACTAATCCGGAAGGAACGCAACAAGAGAGAAAGGGTGGGAGAGGTGAAACTTTTAAGGGACCTGGATAAAGCAGCTCGAAAACCTGACCCAAAGACCAACAATGGAAAACATTCCACTTACGTTGATAAATATCCCTAGAAGTTGGGAGAATGGAACAAGCTAAAAAAGAATCAACCCACCAGAACAAATTGGATCTCCTCACCAAGGACTGAATAAAAAAAACAGGTGAAATCCTGGTGACCGAGATTGAGGTAGAAAGGATGGAGGAAGAGATAATGGAGGGGCAGGTTGGAGCTGGAGCAGCCATGGGAACTATGGTTGTGCTGCCAGTACTGAGCAATCAGAAGAACTTGACACAGTCCTGTATGGATGATCAAGACCACCCTATGAAGAAGACAGCTGGAAGGATAAAAACACAGGTATTTGTTGATCCAATCTTGACTGAACACATCAACAGCCAGAGCAAGAGGAACTGGGGACCAAGGCAGAGGTAATTTGGTGTTGACGGATGTAGCAAACGCATTCAGGTGAGGAGTACCCCACTGAAGGCATAGCCACTGGATAACAAAAGGATGGAGAGACCACTCCATCAGATAAACTTTGTCGGGGCATGAAAGACAATCCACAACAAGACTGAATGCACCCAAAACATGACATGCAATAATATGAATACTGAGTGTGTGGGCCCAAAAAGGAGATACAAGATCCGACCACAAAGGGAATAAGAACGGGTGCCACCTTGGTGAATGAGATAAGCCACCACTGTAGAATTGTCAGAATGGATCATGACCAAATAATTCCTGGCAAGATGAAGAAAATGATCCAAGGCACGACATACAGCCAGAAGCTTCAGGATGTTCATATGGTAAGATATTTTAGTTGGAGACCACAATCTGAAGCTTTCTGCTGATCAACCAACACCTCCAGCCCTGAAGGGAAGCATCCGTGAAGATATGTTAATCCAGACGAGGGGAGGAAGTGGAACACCTGCCCATTTGTGTGAGCCCTGTCCAACCACCAATGCAGATTGCCTACAAGGAAAGGAGGAAGGGAAATAGGAGCCTCCAATGAATCCCATTCAAGATTCCATTGGTCATGCACAGTCCACTGAAAAGACCTCATATGTGCTCAACTCAAGGGGATAAAGGGTTTCCATGGAAGACCACACCCCAAAAGCAATATAACTTCGCAAGCTGTAAGAGAGTCATTCGAACAAAGTTGAAAAGGAGAATGCTGGGCCCAACTGAGGTGAGTGCTGAAAAAGACACCCAAATGGACAAGATATTGGGTAGGTATAAGGAATGACTTCTCCAATTTGATTAACCAACCCGTACAAGCTGCCACCAGGAGCAGCACATGAGTTTGATGGGTAGACTCCTGTTCGGAACAAGCTAACAAAAGCCAGTAGTCCATGTAATGATGCAAGCACAACCTCCAAGCATGCAAATGTTGGGCAAAAGCCTTGACCACCTGACAAAAAACCAAATGGAGCTGAAGCAAGCCTGAAGGACAGGGTGCGAACTTAATGAAATACCCCATGATGAACGAACCGGAAGATATGATCTTGACTGATGAGATAACAGGATATGCAGGTAAGCATTCATGACATCTACCTTGGTCATCCACAAACCCAATGAAAAAGCCCACCTGAGGGTGAGAAAAACTCCATGGCAAATTCGGATAAAACAAAAAATTGATTGAGGTGGGACCAATCGATCACAAGCCACCAGTTCCTGTTTTTCTTGGGTACCATAAATGGCCTGGAATAAAAACCTGGAGAAAGATGCTTCACAAGTTTGATGGCCTGCTAGGAACAAAGATTTTGTAGCACCTCTGACAAATGCTGACTGGTGGTAGAATGAAGACGTAATGGAAAAGAAATAGGTATCTGAGATAACAGTGGAGGGGAAAGAAAATGGATGACAAGTCCCTTGGATAATACCCGTATAACCCACTGATCTGTGGCAAAAAGTCACCAAAAGGGAACAAAATTGGTCAAGCAAGCCCCCATTGAACCATGTCCGTCTTGAATAAAACAATGAGATTATCTCCTGGAGGTAGGAACAGATATGGCCTGGGAAGGAGCTGGATGGGAAACAGTAATAGGGGCATGTCTAGGCTCAGTATGAAACAAACAATCCACCAAAGAAGAAACGGTAGTTTGTTGTCGCACAGACTCCACATAGGATTCCAAAGCCTTAGGAATATTACTAAAAACACACTGCTGTAGAAAAGGGGCCCCATATGTAAGTCCCAGAGATAAGTAGGCAGTAATCCAAACACATATACAAAATTTATCATAAACTTTAAAATTCTTTTGAGAGAAAGAACTTCCTACATTTATCAAACTCATTAGTATAGAATAAATCAAAATTATTTATACTACTGTGAGCAGCCTTTGCTACTTAAATGAGGCTCAAAAAGTAAAATAATGGAAAAATTAATCATAATAATTATAGTATAAGATTATGTCCCGATACAGAACTCTGCATATCAGGACACAAATCTAACATCATAAAAATCCAGAACACAAATTAAAAACTACAAAAGAACAAATAGCACACAAATTGACTAGCTAAACAATACCTAAAGATGAAAGAAGTAAACAAAAAGAATAAATCATTCTAGAACAATTACAAATGACATCCTGATATGAAACTATTTTCAACTTCCAAGATTTGTCAAATCAAGTAATATTATTTAAATTTTAACAACTATATATATATATATATTTCTTCACAAAATATCACAATTAACTTCACTTTTAAATAAATGTTGTTTTTATATATTTTAATTAGGACTTATGCTGTACTGTAGTTAATAAGAAATTGGGGGATTTTATCTGTAGCAAATGATCACTAATAGTAATACTATAAATAGGATTATCATTAATAGTATGAATAAAAGTATATAAATTGAATTTCAAACCTTTCGCTATATAAAATTTATGAAGCCATGTATTGCAACGCGTTATTTTTACCTTGATAAAATAGACAGAGATATTTTACTATTTTCAAAAACTATCAACTTACGTGAAAATATAACACTAGTATTAGTAATAGTACCAGTAGTAACCGAGTTTAAAACCTAACTTCAATTTAAATTTAAAAATGGAATCTAAAAACAAATAGTTCAAACCTATTAATTAATAATAATAATATCTTCCATAAATTAGTCGTAGAATATTTTATGGAAACTACCATAAAATATAGAAAAAACATACTCGTAATAATTTTAATATTTTCTAGAAAAACTCACATTATTAATATGAAATCAATTTTTGTTTCGAACAACATTGTAATTTGCATATACACACCCAACGTGAGGATTAGGCTAAATTCTAACTTGCCTTCGAAATTCAATCACGCACGCTAACTCAGTAGCTGTAGTAATACTACTTAACAGCTAAACATGAATATTCGGTTACACTACATTGTTCAACTACGCAACGAGTCCTGCCGCCCAGAAAGTGCAAGTTAAAACAACACAACTACTTAACAGTAACACTAACTTTTTTATCAGCGTACGCAGAATGTATGATGTTACTGTTCTTCTACTGTGAAGTGCTAGCACGAAAATTGGTACTAGAATTTAAACAGTAACCACTCAAAATTACATCCAAACAAAGAGTTCTTTGGGGGGAAAAGTACCAAATATTTCAAAACAGTTGTTATTAACAGAAAAATAAACTCACGTCACTTTCGACATCAACGTCCTTGTCTTCATCACTCATTTTATCTTTCCAGAGGGATAAAGTTTCCCTCTAAAACCAACACTCTATATAACTAAAATGGCGACAGCAATACGCCACGCGGTCAAACCACGTGCACTCAAACACTCACATGTGCACAGAATTGGTAAAATGTGCTCACAGTTGAACATAATAGGCAAGATGTATACTTTATGATCATTACTGAAATAAACCCCATATAAAATATAGAGGTAATATAAAATTATCAGAAAAATAATTAGTAAAGAGTTTTCCATATTGTATCGAGAAACGTTGATGGAAGTTTAACTTTTCTTTCGGACTACTTAGTTTGATATGTGTTACAATGTAATATGGTCGTGTTCTACCGCTATTAATATCGACGTTAAACTTAAAGGGACATATGACTTCCCATATAACATTGTACGTGTATTACTGAATCGACAATGTAAATATGTATATGTATACTTATATATGCATTAAATTTTTATTTATTTATATATTTTTTTGAATTCATTTTTTCGCCCACTTTTCTCTAAACTATTAACTTTACACCAAAATAACTGCAATAGACGATAGATTGTATTGATCTAGTTGCATATTGAAATATGTACGCTTATCTTATATAAAGCTCTGTTAAGAAATCCTCTATTATAAATTGTTTGTTTGTAATTAAGCACAAAGTTACACAATAGGCTGTCTGTGCTCTGCCCATCACGGATATCAGAACCCGGATTCTAGCGTTTTAAGGCCGCAGACATGCCACTGGGGGCCCTCTATTATAAAAGAATTGAGAAGTGCATGAAGTATTTTAATTCCTGAAATTAACCATCAAGAATATAAAAGGGATCGGGAATATATAAATTTGTACTATTTTTCAAAGGAGCAATCGTGTCAGCTGATGGTTTCTCTTCTTCAAGCTGATAATGACATGACCAATTAACTTGAAATTTTCACTTCCATTGTTAAAAGGTAACATCTCACTTTGTCTACTCCCATTAGCAATAGAGTAAATAGGAGTAGACGAAATGGAAAATATATGACCTAAAAAGTATACAATCATCAGATTGTCAGATATAAAATAAAGTTTATACAGAAATCACTTTGACACAGTTTTAAAAACAATTTTGTATTTATAATGTTTACGATAAAATGCAGTAGACTTTTAAAACATTCATACATCGATATTTATATTGTTGCGTCAGCAAAGTCACATGACTAGTGTGACGCCACGTTTCTAGAACTATCATGTACCTTGGCGAATGCTGTAGG